CGCTGATTTGAAATTGTGCATGTGACAGCCTTAATGTGTGGTTGTGTTCGTTTCAAAAACACATCAGGCCATTTGAAGAGGGAAAAATCGTAAATAAAAATGCATTTTCGAAAAAAAAAATTCGAAAAAATGTTCAAAAAAGTAGTGGCTTACCGGCCAACACTCCGAGAAAATTCGCAAAGAACACTCCAAAAACGGTGAAGAACGATTGCTCAGGGATGATACGGTCGAAACCGATCGGCGTGCAGTTCACTCGTGCATACATAGGATCAGCGTTTTCGCGTAGACGAGCGTATGAGAAACGAGAGATGCCATGACCTGAAAGGTGGCAACTATGTGGCTCTTTTGGTAAGAAAAAGGGAATTGTTGCGGAAGTTGATAAGACAGAAAGATTAAGAATTCAAACTTGAGCACTTAAAATTGAAGATGCGCCACGCATTCTTCGTTCATCTCAGAATCATATTGGCATTTGAATGCGATTGGTGTATGGAATGGCTTATTGGCCAGCTCATGCAGAAGCAATGTTTTTGTTTCGTTCTCTAATTGAACGTGCTCTGAGTCGATCTCGGACAAATGGTAGGGTTGGCTGGCCTCAAGAATACTAAGGGATTTTTCGGCCATGTGCGTGGTAAGTGGCGCCATCCCATGGACCGCCACCCCTTCCTATGTACTTTCGAAATAGCTTTCTTCCTTTGAAGTACCATCAAAGGGCTACGTAAAATGGTTCAGTCTCTGAATAAGCCCATGGGGATTGTCTGATAGAAGCTACTTGTAGCTGCTCACGAAAAAAAGGCGAAGGACGGAAAATTTCCATAACTATGGAAAAAAATCAACAAACAAACTACGGCTTGCCCCTGATTTGTCAGCAACGGGCGTAAAAGGTCAATGGGAAACAGGCCTGAATATGAACACTGCTAAATTTCGTGAAGGTGGATTGTGTGGGCGAAAAAAATAACGAATATTCAAAAAATATGAAGTTGACAAAGGTACACTCATATGGTCATACTTGGATCGGATGTGAACATTGCTCCGAGAAGAAAGTCGATCACTGCCAAAGCGAGAAATCCGAGGAGAAGTAGCTGCAGTCGTACCACCCATGACACACCGGCTGTATTTATTCCTGGAATATGATTATTCGGA